TACATAATATAACTAAACCATATTCAACAGCACTTAAACCAAAATAAACACGATGAACTTGTAAGAATACCAGAAGATTCTTTCCCTAAAGAACAAGATTTTTATACAAAAATAAAACCTAAGTCATGATTTCTGATTAAACGAAACAACACATATCACATTAACAATAATAGGAAGAAAAAAATAGAATAAACAAGAGTTTGGAGAGAACTGACCTTTTGTGGGGCAGTGAACAAGGGCTTAAAGGTCGCTTCAGATCTACTCTTTTGGGTTTCGAATTGAATCTTGAGAGAGAGATAGAGTACAAAAATTAAAAGTGTAAATACAATTTTTTTTCGAGATTCCAAAATGTCCTCTTCGACTGAAGGTTTTAGGCGTAATTTATAGGAAGAAAAATCTAGGGTTTCATGAGTGGGAATTGAAGGAGTCGTTTGAACTCTGACCCGTCACATGATCTCCTTTGCTCAGCAAATCAGATTTTATGAACGCCCCCACAAAAACAGCAGAACAAAAAAAAAGGGGCAAGCAAAAAACAAGTACTAAAACTTCATGCTGCATCATCCCCCCCCCCCCCACTTCACCAGCATACTCATCGTCGTACCAAGGGTCAGAGGCAAGCCTATCTAAGGCGTCTTCATCACCGTCTCCTCCGGGCGTATCGGGATCATAACCACAGGCGTCACGAGCCGCACACGCCTTAACATGAACATCCTCAAATTCGGCCTCGGAAACCTTCCCAGCCGCCTTCAGAGACCTATATATGTCAAGTTGAGCCTCAACATGAACCCACATTTCATACAACTCCCGTGACACACCGGGAGCAATAGAAGTATGAGAAGTGGACGGCTTAGCCTGCACCTCCGTCTTCTCGGCCCTTAGGGCGACAATCTGCCCATTCTGTCGAGACAACTCCGCCTCCAAATCCCCAATCCTCTCCTCAAATCTCGCTTCCCTAAGCGCCACAGTTTCTGCCTTAGTAGCTCGCTCGGAACTGCAAATGTGAAGGGTGTCCCCTAGGGCTACCGCCTCCGCCACATCAATCGTTCTTGCTCTCTCAGCTCGACCCAACTCTTTAACCCCGGTGCTCAAATCATCCTGCAAGTTGACGACCCTTGTTTCGCTCTGCACGAGTTCTACCTTTAAAGACGCCACCTGCGCCTGAAGGTCAGCATTTTCGGATGTCATTCCCTTGCTCATCTCGATCTCATCCTCCTTAGACTTCAACACCTTCTCAAGCACACTACATCTGCCAATGGCCCTCATAAGCTCTTCGTCTTTCTCCCTCAACTCCTCATCTTTCTGCTTGAGCCCATCACGGAGCGCCTGAAACTGGCAGTCCTGGTTAAGAAAGTCAGCAAACGTTCGATGCTTAGAGCGATACTCTTTGTACTTGGACATCACCTTCTTGAAAATGGTTGTCCTTCGTTCTTCCCGCCGGTCACGCTCAATCTCCATGATGAGAGTCTGACATGAAAAAGATGGGTCAGCCAAAGCAAGTTACGCATACGAAATGATTTAACCTAAGATGGGAAAAACAAACTCACTCGCAGGGCCATGCCAGATATACCCAATGATAGATCCGCATCCCTCAGCGTCTGAAGCGTCCTATTTTCAAAATCCGCACACAGAGGAGCGAAGGCCGGTACCACCCGTTCCGAGTTGGCCAAGAGATCGTAATCCACAGGAATAACTATGTGCCGATCAGGCCCCTCTGTCCTTATCTCCACTTGGGTGTACCTCTCCTCAAAAGCTCGCACCTTCTCAGGGTCGATATCGGAGCCCGACCCATCATCCTCCACAAGGATGGTTCTACCCTTCCGTCCGCGGATGATGAGATGACCCCGACTATTCGTGAAGGTTCTCCTCTGACATAGCTCCCCTAGACCCCTAACGGCCCTCCTTCTGTGACGATAGACGGTGCAGGAGCAGCCTCAATGCTCAGTAAAGGTGCCGCCTCCGTGCCCAAATCAATGGGCCTTTGCGACTCGGTATCATCAACATCAACCCTTCCAATCTCCACCTTCCGGTTTTTCCTCGGTACCGTCTCCCCTTCGTCATGGGACGACTCGTAAATTAAGTGCAGGACGCGGTAATCAGAGGTCTCAGCCGACATGACGGCTACCTGTGGGGAGGAATCACCCAACGGCGGAGCTAGAGTATGATTCTCTCGTGCCGACTCAGCTAGTACAAATTGCATTCCTACCAAAGAAATCGCCTAACGAAACATGGGCACCGGAGCCTTCGACTTCTTGGAGGCCCGCCGACCTAACACGAAAAGAAAATTGTGTCTAACAAAAATGCCAACGAGACAACAATAAGCAAAATAAAAGCAAAAGGGTCGCAGAAAGGAAAATCACTTACTAGTTGAAGATTTAAGGCCGAACCGCCTGTTAAATGACAACCAATCACGGATCCTTACAATATGAGGTAAGACGCGAGCCACCCAGTCTTCGATATTAGGAACCGGGGGAGGTATACGTTTAACAACTGAAAGTAGAAAGGCACGAGCAAGTCAGAAACAAAAGAGAGATAAATAAAACACATGACGAACATTAAGAGGCCCTTACGATTAAAATTCCACCGCTCTAGGAACCCGACTAGGTCCGCCACTAGATGCTCGATCCTGACAAAGATATAGTAGCACCAGAACCGGCGGTTCGCCTTATCATCCATCCCCATCACCAATCCTTTGGTCCCACGATGGCGGAGATGGATCAGCGTGCCTCTATAAAAACTAGGCGTGAAGAGGTGCAGCAGATGACGAATGGAGACGTCACAACTGGCCAATTCTGTGAACTTCGCCAACATCAGAAAGGCTTTATACAGGTAAGGGGAAAGCTGTGTCGGGAAGATGCCATAAAAGCGACAGAATTCCTCAGCAAGTGGGGGAAGAGGAAGAGAGTAGCCCACCAAGAACGGGTATTGGTAAAAAGCACAATACCTGGACTTGTATTGAATCATTCCCCGCCGGAATGATGTCAACGTGGGCAGGAATGCGAAATTTAGACCGACAGTCAGATATTTCCTTTGACCCATGACTGATAGCACCTGCTCAGGAGCTGGGGTAGGTTCTTTTTGAAAGCCATTTCTGACCGACAGGTTCTGTGTGATTATCTCCTCTACGGTAGGAAAACTTTCATCTTCCGCAATCGTAGGTTCGCCGCTACCGGAAGGCATACCTTCCGATAAAGGGGTGGCATCAGAAGCTATATCAGAAGTGCGATGGGGTTTTTCATTTCTGCAATAAACGCGTGTACAGTAGAACCGCCAGAAGGTAATCAACGGGAAATGTATGGTTAACAGGAAAGCTAGAGCTAAGAAGCAGAAGGAAATTAGAAGCAAGGGTCAGAGCAGAAACAGAAGAACAAGCAAAGTACCAAATAAGTATGAAATTCAAAAGCCTCATCTTTGAACCTCCCTTACCCTATTTATAAGGTATTATGGCACCGATATCGATGCAAGAAACTGTCACTGACGCTAAGATCGAAGCAACAGAGGCACTGGAAATGATGCATGGCATCGGGAAGATGGGTAATGATGACGCGCGTGGTCATGACGCCATCCTATGTTAGCCACGCCAACCACAACCTTTGATCCGACCCGTCACCAATGCGACCTCGACCAATTCAACCCGTCCGCCATGGAGGAACATTTTTGTGATTAGATACAGATGAAATTCGCTCATCAAGGACTCCCAAGAGGACGACCTCAATAAGCGGAGGGACTAATTGTATGGGTCAAAATTCGATCTAGCGTTGCGGGTGCAAATGGACGAGCTAAGGCCGAGGTCGAGATTAGGTACGGTCTATGGCGAGGAGTCGCTCAAAGGGGAAGATCAGTGCCAGGTCGGGTACAGAGTAACGGGTACAATTGTTAGAACGTTCCTGTGACTATGAATGGGAATATTCTGTTGAATATTCCCTCACATTGTACTTCTCTATGGTTTTCTAGGAATATCCTTTATAAATAGGAAGTGAGAGAGAATATTTAGGGGATTTGAAACTTCTGTAAAAGAACATCCTGTAAAAGAGTTGACTATCAAGAACATACAAAAAACTTGTCTTGTCTTTTTTGTTTGATTCCATCATACAACATTCTTCTTTAGTTCACAAGATCCGAGGGCACATTGTTCACTATCATTGCATGATGTCACACGTTATCTCTGAAGAAGGAATCATCCACCTCATCCAATATTTGGGTGGTTTATTGCTTCTTATTACATTAAATGTCATTTACCACATTTATTGTATGCATTTATTCTCATATTTATATCCAATCATTGAGCATTAATTCAGCATTTTATCGATTAGAACACGACACCATCTAAGTTGCTAAATTTTGGATCTAGGATTTATTATTGTTGACTTGGATTTACCCTCTATCTTCTGTTTAATTAGTTTAACAAAAGATTTCATACTTTTTGGTCAAACAATAAGTAATCCTTGTTTAGGGTGGGTAATATACAAAATTAGGACAATTTTAGTAAATAAATTTCAAATATTGTATAAGAAGAAAAAAAATTCCTACAATTATTGTGCATAATCCAAAACAAGTTGGGGTCGATTGTGGATATCTTATAACCTTTTAATTAAAAAGAAGAGATTGGTAAAGAAAAACTTTACAGGCTGGCGATTCCAGAGAGACGAGGGCAGAAATAAGCTTCTTGTGATATTCATTTTCCTTAAAACCAAGTGCTGTATTGTGGGTAACACATTAGCAGACGACTGCAGTAATACAAACAAAGGCAGAGGGCGGTCACATGAGTTGTTTTACCAGGTGAGGCATTGAGCGTAAGCTACATGAATCTTTAATTTTTAATATTTTATAAATAAAAATAAGTATTAAAATAAAGTATATAGAACTACATCTGAAAACGCTGATTTGATAAGCAATTGACCTAAAAGTAATCAAAACTACAATCAAAAGCGTTGGCCAAAGTAAATCATGAAGGATGATGCGTGTTTTATAATTTGCTAATTAATCACTTTTTCTTTACCCAGTAGAAGGTGAAGAGGTTCGTACTATTAGAAATTCGGTATTGTACAACTTTTTTTGCTACACAAGTACATAATCTAGAGACACAACGTAACTATATATATATATATGCTATTTTGTTTTGCTGTATAAGTAATCACAACTGTGTCGACTAAAAAGATGCACAAACACGTCTAATAGTTCCTTGAGAGCCAGTAAGTACACCAATTCTGCCCATTTTTACCATTGCATTGGCAAAATCAGCCTCAAATGATGTCCCCAAAAATGGGCTAAGAATCCCAAAGTAAGAATCCACAACTCTCTTTGTCGTCTCATCTCTATATAAATTTGCATCAGATTGTAACACAGCAAAGCCACTCCTAATATTCTGCAGAATTTGTCTGTCGAATGCTTCGCCGCTGCCCCGATCCATCGCTAACCTGACGTTAACGTTTCCGTTTTGCGGGCAAGTAGCCTTCAACTCGGGAAGAAAATTAGGGTTTATTGATGGATCGGAACCTCCATTGGGGGAGAAATTGTAGAGCCTTTTGGTCATGAAAAAACATGCAGTGGTACCAATTGTATGGGCAGCTGCACAGATACACAATATCAAGTTTGATACTTTTTCATTAGTTAAGCTACATTATTGTCAGGCAAAAACCTATGTGAACTCTTAAGAAAAATTTCAATTATAAATATAACACTAGCTACTGTGTTAAGAAATATATTTGTGTAACTTTGAAAAGATACTATGCGAAGATGTGATCTCTATTTCTGGTTATATCCAGAGGCCTATGTAATGTTATAGCACCGGGTTCATCTGAGCCCTGTACTTTCGATACAGAGTATAAATTTAGTGTAAAAATTCATTAAAATTATAGTAATATATAGTAGGTCTGAACCTATAACTTTAAAATATACAAAGTTCAATACTAAGAACTGTAAAGGCTGAACCCATAGAATTAAAATACTGGATCCGCCTCTAGTTATATCTAGACAGGGCAATATGTGCAACTTCAAGTGTCTGATCTTTTCACCTATTAATTCTTGACATAAACTATTTGGTGATCATGGTCCATCAATTAAGTAATCACGTGACGTTTAATTACATGGGATAGTCATCTTTTACACTAGAGTAGTAGAACATAAACTGAATCGAAGAACACAAACAAAAAAAACTTCAGGTCTTGTCCTTGTTTTATTGATTAATCTCGATATTCTTCTTTGCTATATATAGTAGAGATGAATTATTTAAATCTGTTTACTAGGGAGAGACGGAAAGTTAGTTACCACAAGCAAATTAAGTCATTAAATTTGAAAACGTTTCTGTCATAAGCAAATTAAGAACAAGTTGCTATAGCAAATATATGGAAGTGATTTTTATCGACTTCATTAGCTAAGGGACAAAACATGCATGAGTCACGTCTTCATGTATTTAATGTTATATATAAAGATCATAACAAAGACGTATGAAAGCATAATTAGCTCCAACAGGATGAAGAATCTTAGAAAGCCAAAATAAATACTCTCTTGGTTCACTTTTACTTGTCAACTATAAATTTGCATTCCCCTAAAGAAATAATAAATGAAGTGCATAATTTACCATAATACCCATATTAATTGATGTATATATTTAATGGATTTGAAAAAATGGTTTGAATGAGTAATTAATACTATGAGTATAACAGGAAAAAAGAAATTGTCTTCTTTTGATATGCTAAAAGTAACAAATAAAAGTGAAAATCTATTTTATAGAATACTGAACAAGTAAAAGTTAGCGGAGGGAGTAGATACTATATTCCCTACATTCCGTTTTACTTATCACGTATTTATTACTAAACATGATTGTTTTAAAGTACTTGTCGTTTATAAAAGCAAGAGAGAATAAATTCTCTTCATCTTTTTTTTTTTTTTTTCAATTTCCTTTACTCTAATAAATGTGTAGTAAGCAAAAAGTAATAATAAATTGAGATCAAAGAAAAATAAGGGTAATTTAGTCAGATTATTATTTTTAATTAGAATTTTCTTAAGGAGTGTAAAAAGGTAAAAGTGAAAATAAAAGAGAAAGGGAGTGAGTAAATAAATATAAATAACCAAGGTCGAGCCTTAACTTCTCATTCAGTTTCTACCTACTTAAAAAATAGGTTAATTTCTTTGTATTGACGTACGGTGTAACATATAATTACACAATTAGATTACCTATAAGATAATTATTGCCAGAGGCGGACCCATGTGTATGGTGAGGGGTCACCGGATCCCGTAAACTTCGGATGAAATCCTATATATATATATATATATATATATATATATATATATATATATATATATACGTATATACCTTGAAAATGGTTAATTTAAAGGAGTTGGCACCCTGAACACTAAAAGCCTTTAGGGAACACTAGTTGAACAGAATAATGTGCCCCGTCGAGTAAATTCTGGGTCCGCCTCTGATTATAGCTATAATAGATTTCCATAAGAATCAAATGGTATCCACAAAATATGCATGTATAATGAAAGTGTAGAAAATGAAATGGAGATATGAATGAATGATAGTGAGTATGTAGTATATATAAAACGTACCACTGAGGAGCACAAGGTCTTTGTCAGAGAGGCCTTTCTCTAAAAACTTAGCTTTGAGTTGCTGAATGGAATCTTCAACATCTGGCATGTTTTCAGCCAAAGATAAGTCTGAAACCACCCCATCTCTTCTTCCTGTTTCCACATCATAGGAAGGCCCATTTGCCTGTGCAATTAATCATCATCGTACACTTCAATTCAATTTAACTTCTAGACTAGCTATAACGATGAAATCAACAAATGATGTTAATTCTAAATTAAAAATTTTTAGCATATAAACTTATTGAAGCAATATCTGAATCCGAGGAAAATTAAATGCAAGAAAAGCATTAAGAAATATTCATGAGAAGAGCTAGAGATATAGAGAATTTGCATTTCTATTATGAGATTCCTCGTTAAATATCAAGTTTTTTGTATGCTGTAAACAAACAGAAGTTGTTTACATGATTAATCTATCTGGCCCTAGTAGTACGCTAGCTAATGAAATAATTAGTGCACTTTTTTTAAAGAAACAGAAAGAAGAGGAATTAATAATACCAAGAGTATAGCATCCCTAGCAGCCAAAGCAACAATGTCAGCACAAGAAACAAGTCCAGGACAAACAGCTTCAACCTCTACTTTTGCTTTCTCTATAACTTCAAATCCTCCAACACCCTGATGCCCAAATGCATGCCTTTCTGCTGTTTCTCCATTTTCTATTAGAATTGATCCATCACATCCCTGATTATCAACAAGAATAATAATTATCACCAAAAAGATTAAATAAGGATATGGTGATCAAATTAAAGTGAGCTTAAGTTCTTTTGAACTGGACCTGAACAAAGCAGTCATGGAAATGAAGTCTAAGCAAGACAGGAGCTATATTTTGGTTTGAGGCTGCAGCTTCACTGACAACACCACTAACTATGGTTTCAACATTAGGGCATGTTTGGCCATAAAAACCAACTTGGAGTTTGCTTTGTGAAATTCCTATTAGATGAGTGAAAATTAGTATGGCATAAATTAGTGTCATATTATTGGTGGACTAGATGGAGTCTGTTTAGGATATTTGAGTAAATTCTTGGAATGATAACACAAGATTAAATACAACTATTGTGCATGTGTTTCTCTGCTTCCCTTCTGTCTCAAGGTTTGATTCAAGTAAACTAAGGTAGAATAAGAAAGAGAAGAGGGAAGAAGTAGAGTTTATATAGATGCAATTATGTTCATGTACTCTGAGCACATGGAATTTTTTTTTCTTTTTCTATTTTTGGAGGGGTGAAGAGTGACCTGGTTTGAATTTAAATGAGGAACATAATCAGTATTGATTCACATAGCCGATTCCAATTCGTTTAGAATTCAGACGCAGTAATTATTGTTGTCGTCGTTCTATTTTTTGAAAGGTGAATTAGAGACATATACTTCTATGACGGGTTATCTGATAAGACTTTACTAAAATATTCACTAAATATATATAATCTATCTGTTTCAATTTATATGATACTTTTTGTTTTTCGAGATTTAAAAATTTCTTGAATTTTGACTGTTTATTTGGACATAAAATCTTTAAATTTGTTATAAATAGAATTTTATTTAGGGTGAATGTCTATATTTAGAGAGATTCTAGGGTTTATTACTTGGTGGCTAAGTCACCATCTCCCTATAAATAGAGGGGTCCTATTTCATTGTAAATCATCCCAAAATTCAATAAGAATTCTCTCTCTTTACTTTTCTCTGCAATACTCTTGTTCTTCTTTTATTATTTTATAACACGTTATCAGCACGAGACTCTAACCAATTGAGTAGAAGCTTTGGGATTGAGCATAATGATTGTCAATTATTCCATGAACTTCCTTCACGATTAAATTCTGGATTTAAGGTAAGTATTTTACCGTATTTTTCTCTTTTATTCTATACTTTGATTTTAAATACAAGCAAAGACAACAAAGTTTGATAATAACTTTAATGGAGTTTGTAAGAAATTATAACCACCTGAAGTGGTAAAATTTCTATGCCTCGCCATGATCAAATTTATGTATGATTGTGGGCAAAGAATTGAAAACTCGTCCCATCGAATTTGCCCCATTCTCATTCCCTTAAGAGAATGTGATAGCAGTATGTGATAAGTCTGAAAGAAGACAAAATTATTACTATGAATGTATCAATGGATATGGACGTGGCAATAGACGAAATTATAATCGTCATCATTTGTGGTAATGAGAACAATAAGGATTCTCAAAATAATCTTTCACTCTGTGAAAAATATTTGTCATCGATTTGACATGAGATTTTGTAAAGCACATATAGATGATTATGGTACGTTCATGATGCGAATGTGACAACATCTGATTTATGAATACATATTCATTCTTCAAAGAATATGAACGTGCTAGTGGTAGTGAATATACCGCACTCACCTCTAAAAGGAGGTTTGAGATGATATAAGAAAATAATGTCATTATTATGGCATGAATGGTCATTGGTCACGTACCTATTGTACGCCAAAATATTTTGGCATTGTGATTGTTAAAAGACAACGGTAATGCAAGAAACAGATCTTGCATATAATTTTGATCATAACCATAATGGTATAACTTTCTCTTTAAAAGAGATATTCACCATATGGGTGTTGATGAATATGTGGTACTACAAAATCAATTGAGAACTCTGCAAGAGCCAATTATACTATTTTGGAGAAACACAATTGATTATCAATAAGGTATTGTGTTGTAGTAAGTCTCAAAGAAACTTATTCAGTTTCCAAAGTATACGCGAAAGCGGTTGAGTATATTGAGACTATAAATAAAGGAAAAATTTAATATCTTCTATTACTACAACTTGTAGCGGGGTAATATATATGTGAAAGCTACCCGTTTTATTCTTCAATTTGTACTACATAAACAAAAGAATACCACAATGAAGTGGGTATTTATTGATATAAAAACTCATATCATAATAAACTTGGAGTTTATTGATAATTGCACACGTCATGGCGTAAATCTGAAGTTTATCAATATTGATAATTTATTCAGTTGGCATAATTGGTTTAGCCATATCAATTTAAGTATGATGTGCAAAAAAAATAAAAGAGAATTCACATGGGTAAATATTAAAGAACTAGAATGTTCTTTACGAATTCTATTATGTTGCCTGTTCTCATTAATTAATATACCAATTAAAATTGGGATTGAATCCCATGAATGCTGGAAATATCAAAGGTGAATATGGGCTCATTCACCTGCCATGTATACCACATAAGATGCATCTATGAGATGGTTACATGTGCGAATATTAATAACACGCAACATGGTGTTTTGCGAGGTAACTTGCTCAACAATTTAATTTCGAGCATAATTTCCAGATTTTCTATTCAAGAAGTTCATCTTGATAAGTTGGTTTACATCACAGTTGGTTTAGCAAAATGATTTATTAAGTGCCTCTACTTAATAGCTAAACAATTGCTTATGAGAACAAAGTTATCTATATCGGTTTGATATAGGTTATATACGAAAGTATATTACATTCTCCCCTTACAAGTGGTTCATGGTCAGGAACCAAATAATTCCATCTTATTATTATTTATGTGCGGTGTATATTTTGATTAACACCATAAAGCACAAAGATGAGTTCTCAAAGTTGAGAAAACAAGTTAGTTTTTCTAACATGAGGGGGAGACATGATAAACAGTTGAGAAAAAGTTACGTGGAATGAATTATCATTTGTTCATATAGATCCTCGAATAAGATAATATGAACTTGAAGTTCATAAAAGGATAATTCATGTGCAATATATTGCAAAGCATGCCAGACGCATTTGCTGACCCAAAGAAAGTAACTATATTCTCATTGCAAATGCTCATATTAAGTCCTATAAGGACAAAGTCTATGGTACGCTTATAGCATACAGACAAATCGGTTTCAAATAAAACTTCTTGATAAAGAAGATGAGCAAATGATCAAAATGATCATAATAAAGGAGGCAAGTGATCTAGAAGATCACATGACATAACACTTCATAAAATCTCATGAAAGATTCAGGTACCTGAATATATGAATGAAGAGATCTCTATGTTATGTCTTTATGAAAAAATATTGAAACTGATATAAAATGTTTGTCGGCGACATCTATAATAGCGCTAAATATATATGAGGACCTCAAGTCTGGAGAAACAATTCAAGTAGAATTTGGTTTCCTATGAAAGACATGTAGTTTTGAACATGTAGTTCAAACACTTGAAAGTATGAAGCCAATGATATGTGCAATCAGTTTTCGATATCTTATTTGTCTAGCATGACATGAAAACTTGATATGCATCTAATTAAAGTCTATTGTATGACTTATATGACAATCCTTGAAGGATTTAAATCGCTTGAAGCATATACAATTCTTGATCTTGAAGTACTACATCCTCAATGCAATTTGTGCACAAATGTATCTTGCTATAACTATATGCATGATAATATGATAGCAAGAGTTTTCACCTCTATGTGAAGATATTGAACTGACGATTCCAACAAGATCATATGAAGACAATCCATCTCTATCAAGAATGATGATTTCAAGGTGCAATATATTCATCAAGTATATGGCTGATTTATTTATCAAATATCTACCAAAGATCTTTTGAAGATGGTGCACAAGATTGGAATGCAAATGCTTAAGGATGTGAAGTGATGCTCTCATGAGGGGGAGTTAATACACGTTGTACTCTTTTTTCCTTACAAGGTTTTGTCCCACTGGGTTTTCCTTGCAAGGCTTTTAACGAGGCAACCAAAAGGCGTATTGTTAGATATGTGTACTCTTTTTCCTTCTCTAGAATTTTTTTTCCATTGGGTTTTATTTAATTAAGGTTTTAGCGAGACACATTATCTGTTGAATAGACATTCAAGGGGGAGTGTTATAAATAGAATTTTATTTATGGTGAATGTCTATATTTAGAGAGATTCTAGGGTTTATTACTTGGTGGCTAAGTCACCATCTCCCTATAAATAGAGGGGTCCTATTCCATTGTAAATCATCCCAAAATTCAATAAGAATTCTTTCTCTTTACTTTTCTCTGCAATACTCTTGTTCTTCTTTTATTATTTTATAACAAAATTTAAAATTCACATTTGTAAAAAATACGTAAAAAGTACTACTATAAGTTACAATAATTAATAGTAATTTTTTAGAAGTCATAAGAAAAAACTGCAGCCAAAAAATAATTCGTTTGACTCTCAAAATTCGAACACCTTCGGATAAATTGGGATGGAAGGAGTATGTATATAATATTTTTAAAATGAAAATGTTAAAATTTATGTGTGAACTTTTCAAAATTAATCATTCAAACCTCAATTAGAAGATTGATTCAAAAATGACCTTGTTATTATCAAACACCTTCATCTCAGAACAATTAAAGCTCCAGCTACCATATAGTATTATTTATGTTGACCATCTCAAAATTGCCACGTAAGCAAAATATATGAAAAACAAAAAGAGAGAAAAAGTTCAAATTCACAAGTTGAATTTAAGAAAAATGTTGCAAACGCCACAAAAAAGAGAAGGGGCCAGACTGGAGGGGAGGTTTGTCTAGCTAGGACTGATTTAAGGTTGACAGCAAAGGAATAGATGGCAATATAATGCTTCAACAACCAAGTTGCATGTTGCATGTTGCATGTTTATGTGTGGTTTCTGTTATCCTTTAATTTTATGATCATTTTGTAGTTTCATTTGTCAGTAAAGGGATTCACATGTTTATCCATTTGTTGTTTTGGTTTTTGGACCTTTTTGGTATCATTTGCTGGTTATGTTTATCAATTCTCTGTCAGTACTATGCAGTTATTAAATGTTTACTTCCCTTCTGTTCTGACAAGTCTTGCATTTGATCAACTTCATAAAGCTACGTGCTAGTAAGTAGTAGTAGTACTAACCCTATTAAATGATGTGTGCATGTAACCTTTTTTGATAAATTTTCATTGCCTATGAATATCACAATCTTTACTCTGGTTATTATCTATTTTAGCATTTTTTTGGTTGAATCATATCAATTTATCTTTCATTTTTAAAATTAAATTTATTAACCAGAACCGTGTAAGTTAAATTTTAAGATGAAAATTTTTAACTTTTGAAGTGATTGTGACCTTTTTCTATGTCTTTACCCTTAAAACAGATAACAATTAAATTTGTATGCGGTTTTAAGGATATATGGATATATTTAATACAAGTAATTAAGAATGTTAAATAAGCAAATTAAAGATGAAATAAATAACCAAACCAT